AAATGTAAAATAACGTAATAAATGCAACTTAAAGTACAGTACAACAGAGCATGGTAAGGGGAGAGAAGACACGAAGACACTCCGACTGACTCGGGGTTCAATAATCAATCGGCCACCCCGTTCGCCCACTCGCCCTTTCCCGCCCTTGTGAACTTCGATCAACTTGGTCAAATCCCGTAGGGTTGCTAAAAGGAACAGTCAGAGTTGACGATTGACAAGTAAAAGAAGAGCTCGGTGACCTCGAAAAGGCTAATCCAGCACAACTGTCCATTGGAAATAAGTAAAGAAAATGAAAAACCGAATGAAAACTGGATTTCCTGTCGGAAGAGGACCAGCGGCGGTAGGACCAGGTGGGTCAATACCGTATGAAGTCAATAAAATATGCGAGGCCGAGGCGTTCCCCACCTCTATGCACATCGATTTTTGAACGATTCCGGAGTAGCGAAGTATTGAGTGGTGATGTTCCACTAACCACCAAACCCTTTGAGATGCGCCATGCATCTAGCTGTTTCTGGTTTACGCCATGACTTCGCTCTCATTCACGAATCGTGATATCAATCAAATATTCGGATTGTGTTGCACCAATATCTGTCAAATCCCCTACGGCGAGAATAATTCAAGGGTTCACATCACTCTGGGTTCTTTAACTCCTTAAACTCAAATACCACCCAGTTCCAGGGCTTTAATGGAAAGCCAGGTGACCACGAGCTAGATGATAGCCCAATGGGGTCGTATTCGATTCACTGAAGAGAGATGTGGTCGTAATATTTAACGCACGGGATAAAGGATAGTATACTTTCGAATGCCTTCGCAATGAAGGTGTGAAAGGAGATGGATGAAGTTGTCGTTCACATGCGCGATAGTTGGGGGGGGGGGCGAAGTCTGGAAAATAGCCAATAGTCGATAGAAGGGCGGAGTCTGGAAAGTAGCCAATAGTGGAATAGAAGGGCGGAGTCAGGAAAATAGCCAATAGTCAATAGAAGGGGTGGAGTTTTAAGTGTTTAGTTTTGAAGTGTAAGGTATGAAGATCGACGCGGTACGGACTGCATCGAAAAATGATTGAAAAACGAACGAAAATAATGATTTATCGAATTCACCGTTAAAGACGAGGGATGACTAGCAATTTACAAAACATTAGCACATAAGCAAAGGAAGACCCTACGAAATGCTTTAGCACGCATAAAGTAACCTATACATGTAACTGATAACAATGATAGACATTGATAACGTGGAGAATATATGCATGTGCACAACCCGGAGCCAATTAGGAAGTTATTACAAATAATCATTCAATATGCATATTTTCAAGATGTGCACCATTCAAATCGCTACAGCCTAGTGTAAGTCGAGATCACCGAAAATCAATCAAAATCACCAAATATCATTGTGAAAAGCTCAAAAATCGATTACTATCTATACCAAATATATGAGAGGATC